CACTTCCCTGGAACGGTCCTCCCACGGCACCCGAAGGCCTTTCCCGTTGATACGATGTCCCTCTAGTTCGTTTCTTCGAATGATCTCGGCTCGAAGCTCCGGGTCAGGTGTGGGTCAACATTTGTGGCGATCGACTTTGCCGCGAGTTGGTGTGCCCTCGCTGAATTTGGTGTGCCTCTTTGTGATGGAGAGGAACACCACCATTTTGGGGGGTCCACATTTTGAGCCAGACCCATTCGCCCTGCTGTGAGTTGCAATCATAGCGGGAGCCAACATTTGGACGCATGGGCAAGACCTGCTAGTTTCCTGCTTGAAGAGCTCGGGGCTAATGTAATTCGCCGTAGACTTGGACCCCCTTCCCTGCCTCACACGGCTGTGTATATTCTTTGACGGCAAACCCTTCTGAGGTTAGCTTATACGAAAACAAAAAGAAGCACCACTATTGTGGGGCCCCCTATACTGACACAAACCCGCACAGGTGTCCAAGTCGACGCCTCCCTCACGCATCTGAAAGAACCTGTCAGGCCAAGAGTTTCAAGCCCACTGTTCTGCTGAAGACGGATGGTTTCGAAGCCAATGAGAGGAGCCCTTTGCAAGGCACACAGTCTGAATGACTTTCGTGTTCATGTAAGGTTGCTATTCGCGCATGTTGTTGGGCTGGCAAGCTTTCGTTTAGGCGCCTCTCGAGGGCTTTTTGGGCAGGCCATTGTGGCAGTCACAACAACTTGGATGAAACCTACTAGTGTGCATTTTGCTTGGGAGGGTGTCAAATAGGGGGACTCTCCAAACAAGCCATGAGTTTCCTTCGGGTTTCCCCTGAAGCAAACCCAAAAAGCGTAGCCTCCACGAGACGACCCCTGGAGCCCGAGGTTAGGAGATGTGCGGCAGCTCAGCGACGGATTCGAGCCACGCCGGCGGCTTTTTCGTTCGGCGCTTCGGCGTGCCGTCGTGTGCGCACGGGCCTTTGCACCCAAGTGGGTGTGTCCTTTTCAAAGGCCCCGCAAAATGGTTGGCTTTCCTTTTGGCGTCCCTTAAAAACCATCAAAAAGGGGCTCACAAAAAGACCTTTGAATCGGCTTTAGGAAACCAACAGGACTGCCATGGACTGCCATTTTGAAGCGCTGATTTGAGACAATGGTTGCAGACCTTATGGCTATGCGGAGCACTCCTTAGTTTGTTTTTTTTGTAGCATGATGATGAGTTCCGCTAAACAAGCAAAGCTATATTTTTTGCACGCGGGGATTTGGTTTCCCGTTTGAAATGAACCCGAAAGGAGTACCCTCAGACAAAGGTGAAGGTTCAGGAAAGGTATGCTCCTTAAAAAGAACAGCACAACTTGCAGCGCAATTCTCATTCCAAAACAATGCATCATCCCGAGCACACTGGTTCAGTGACACAAACATCAGCTAGATTGACAAATGTTTCAACCTCGGGATCCCTCTCTGACATGTTGCCAACTAAACCACTGAGAGAATCGTGTATGAAGCTGAGGTGTGGTATCAAACCACTCAAGAGGTTCAGTGGGGATGGAACTAGCTTGCCAGTCCTGTTAAAACAAATGATGTTTCAGATAGTTCTTAAACATATCCTCAGTTGACGCACTCAACCTCGCATCCTGACAGCGCTAAGTTTCCGCTCGCTTGTCGCAAAAACAGAGCCATATACTGGGCACTTACGGCCCCACACCGGCAGTGGTCTTTAGCCCAGTTGCACTCGTCAAGTTAGTAACGTAGGATAACTTTGAAAGACTTGTTACAAGGCGGGTCCTTGTTCTCACAGGAGGAGGGTATGTGTGTGTACGTGTTTGTAGCAAAGATATCATCAGCGGGCCTGCACAATGCGATATTGCCCCATGGGCGGCAACACGATTTGCCTTAGCTGAATGCTGTCACGATTTGCCTTGCCGACGCTTTTCTTGCGGGCCCCTGGATTGCAAGCCATCCAAGTCAGGTGGCTTGAGGCGCTTCGCACCTGCTTGGATGGATTGAACTTGATGTTTTGAATGCGGGATTTTCCCAAGTTACCAATTGGTGCGCAGCAGATTTTGTCTATCCACAGTCCAATTTCTGTTTGTCTCAAAGTGGTAACCCTAGGAGCCCCTTGGACCCCAAATATTTTATGGCCTTTGACCCCCAAAAACCCAAATAAGGTCTTGGGACAGGGCAAATACTCAAAATGTATCCCTTTGGTGGATTTGGTCCATCTCCAGAAGCTTTCAGTCGCAGCTTTCGCCAGGTGCGCTTACTCTCCGGCGGTTGCGGGGGCTGTCCCGCGATAACGGGCGGAGAACCGAATCGCCACAAGGAGTATTTGCTTAATATATAATATATACACACACCATTAGTGTGTTCAGATTTGTTTTTCTTATTAGAAACATGTTTTTCTTCGTAGAACCATGTGTTTTCACACTCCAATGCACCCAGTTGACCAGCCTGGTTTTCAGGTCCGCGTGAAAAGAGCTGGCCAGGCGCTACTACCACGAGGCCATGACCTTCCCTGCACTCAACCTGCCCGTCTCCAAGTGGAGCTTGTCGCAAAATAGAAGCCCCAAACTGGTTGGGTTCCGGTTGCTTTTCCTTAGAAGCCAATTCCCCCCCCAAAAGAAAAGAAGAGAAAGGAGTATGTTTTGAGGATGTACTGAGGGTCGAAAATATGGTCAAAGCCTGAGATACTTGCACCCTCCAGGATAGAGAAATTCAGCCAAAAGGAAGCACCAGTCAGGTTCCATTTGTCGCGTGCCGTTTCATGTATTTGCCTTTTGGCTTTCCTCCTTTGTCTCTTTCAATCAGTTCAAGCGGGTTAACTCTGGCTCGGAGGGGTTTATTTTGCGTCCTTGGTTCATAGTTGTTTTTGTTTCGCAGATGATCAGCTGTGAACCTTGGCCCAAACCCAGCTTGGAACTCCGGTCCATTCGTTTCATGGGGCCAAGGCGCTCCAAGACCAGTTTCTTCTCAAAGGGGCCGGATGAGACTTCGGTGTGTTTTATGCTTGGAGTGTAGCTAAAAACGCTACAGAAAATACCATGGAACTCGTAGGCACTGGGGCTTCTCAAGGGAGCAATGGCTTACACCAGTCATTGTTGTGCACATTTTCTGGCCAGCAAATGCGCTGAGTCTTGATCAGGATGCCTCTCGCTCGATCGCGGTTTGCCTTCTCAGATTTTGAGCAATACAACCGGGGGCGTCTGATTCTGTCGGGAGCAACGAAGCAGATGTTGCTGAGATAGACTGAGCATGGCCGTGTGTACGTGCTTTCTTTCACAGTCGATGTGTTTCCCTCTCATGCGTGAATTGTTTCTGCAGGGGCTTTCAGTCAGGTTGCAAGCGTGTGCCACGATCAACAACATTGTTCAGAACATGAAGGATGTGATAGGGAAAAGCTTGGACAGCCAGATTGGACTGCAGGCAGATTGTTTCGGGGAGGAAGAGGCGACGGCGCAGCAATTACTCAAATCTTCGAACAGCCTACAGAAGCACTTGTCAAACCTCGACCGCGGCTAGCGTTTCGACTTGTTGGGAATACCAAACTATAGGCCAGGGAAGAAGGTGGAACTGGGTGTGTCTTTATAAGGGACCCAATATGGTTGGTGTCCTTTTGGTTTCCCTTTAAAGCAACCCAGAAAGGGTACCCTCAAAAAACGATACACCCAGCTGGCAATCTCTGGGGTTCGTTATGACGTTTCTGCCACGGCGGACCATAAGGAACTTTCACCCGACGGGTTTCTAAAACACCCGCACGCACCCGGAAACGAACGGGAACCAAGCCATTCAGGAACTGCGAAGGGCTGCTAAACTATAGTTCACAGCATGCGATCACGGTTTAACCAACTTTGGAATGCCAATGGTTGGAAACCTGCAAGAGTTTGCCATGTAAAGTGTGTGCCAATGGACAATTAGTTTTGACGAAGCAGTTAGTTCAATTGTTTGGACAAAGCAGTTAGTTCAGCTTTTTGGACAAAGCAGTTGGTTCAACTTTTTGGACAAAGCAGTTGGTTCAACTTTTTGGACAAAGCAGTTAGTTGAACTTTTTGGACACAGCAGTTAGTTCATTTTTTTGGACAAAGCAGTTAGTTCAGCTTTTTGGACAAAGCAGTTAGTTCAACTTTTTGGACAAAGCAGTTAGTTCAATTGTTTGGACTTGGACAAAGAGTTGAAATCTAGTTGAACTCTTCTTTGCGTTTTTTGCACTGGGCCCATCGACCCGCCCCCCGAAGGCTGGGCCCTGGCGCGCACAAAATCCTCATCCTCGGCGGTGGCGACGGGGCACCCGGACTCGATGTGCGCCGTTGGGTGCTTCCTCGATTTTGTTTTGTTTTAGGGCCTCGACCATCAAAAGAACGAAAGGCCATCAAAGTAATGTGCCTCGACCATAAAAAGAAAAGCAGGAATCTTGGCTAACCTGCAACACCCTGGCCTTCCTCAAACGTATTAGTCATATGGCCCAGACCAAAATGACAGAGAAAGGCTATGAATAAAATTCCAAAAGAGTGGACATGGTGGACCCGTGGAAGTTCAGCTTGCCACAGGGTCCTGCGCATGTAGTTTCAGTAGCTCGCTGATCAGGTGAAGTTGTTAGAAAAAAACAAAAGCATGTCATCTGTGCTTTCCAAATGAAAGCGTTGTCAAAGAGGTGGAGCGGGATGAGGGCACCCACAAAGGCTGCGTGGATGCCATGGGCAAGGCTGCAAGGCTGCAGCAGGTTTGTTCCACAAGTTCTGCGGACTTGCGCCTAAGTCCACCCCAGGTTTGGAGCCCGGGACACTTCGGACCCCAAGTTGGAAGGAAGCGAAGCTGAATAGGTATTGCAACTAAAAGGTTTGGAATAGGTACTGTAACTATTGTTTTTCGTGGGTCGGACATACTGGGATGTCCTTTCTTAAATGATCTCACACTTTCAGATATAATGCTGACGGGTGCTGAAAGTTGGGGGGCAAAAGCTGGAGGTGCGGTTGCTTTTGGGTGGGTTAGATGTGGATGTCCCTTTCGAAGATATTACAGCTTCTCCGCATCAAGCCTCAACAAAATGTAGGTGTCTCCTTCAGCATTTGAATCCTTGCACACGTGCAGGGGTTCAGATATTTCAGGAGTTCGCAGCTTAAACAATCCGATTGTAGCATTTTTGTGAGGTGCTATCTCGCTCACATGGCGTCGGAGCCGCCACACCTCCAGAACTTATAACTGACACTGATGGTGAAAACGGTCGGCTTGCCCGCGAGCTTGCAACTTAGACTTTTTGCAGCGGGCTTCCAAGAACCCTGCAGGTTAGTCGGGAGCCTGTGGCAGAAACAGATGCCATAGTCCAGCAAGAGTTGGTTCTTTGGACGACAGTAAAGCAGGTGGCCACAACATGTTATGTGTGTTTTCTTTGTCTCAGATGCATCAGTCCGAGCGCCTTCAAACGATACTCCTTTGACAGATGCAAGTGATGAGCTCTGAGCCGGAAGACAGGACCATTCTTTTGATGCAGGTTTCTTTGGGGAGTATCAATGAGTGACTGCTGACTGGCCCAGAGACAAGCTTCGGCTCAGAGTTCCGTTCAACGGCATCCTCTCACGCAAAACCCCTGAAACAACGCCCCTGGAGTACAACTCGTAGCCCAGTGGAACAGTTCTGCAATATACAGTGGCCCAAAGACATGGGTAAGTGTAGGGCATACCCCATCTACCAGACCATAGTAAAAAAAAACAAACTGAACAATTTGTTAATGTTGGAACATGTGGAAACATGAACTGTGTGTGGAATGCTTGACCACAATGGCATGTGCCATTTTGGCTCAAGCATTGCCTTGGGGTTCTCTGAACCCTACTTGATCTGAAAAAGGCAGGTTTCTTTCGATCCCTCTCGCGTCTCCGATTCGCAATGGCATCCTCGACCACCACGGTGTCCTCGATGGAATTGGTGGAGGAGCAGAAGATCACGGAAGAAGAGATCGAGTTGGCCAGGCAGGAGGCCCCGGAGACCCAGTTGGTTCGCCTGCTTCCGGTGGAGGACAAGCCCGGGTACTACCGCCTCACGGACTTTCGGACTCCTTCCCGACCCTGCAGGCATCCGCGGTTACCCTGTTGCGGGACATCACGGGGGCGGAGGCTGCCTCTCTCTTCTACAAGTTTGTCGGGAAGACTCTGTCGGAGGGCCTCGTCATGCGGACCTTTGTACCGATGAAGATTCAGCTTAGGCTCCCTCCGCAACGTTGAGGCCGACGGCATCACCTACCACCTGCTGATCCTGGAGGGCAGACGTGGGTCCCGTTGAATTTGAGGGTGGACATCAGGCAGGAGATTCTCACCATGGAGGCGGACGCCGAGGCGATGAAGGTGAGGGAGCACCAGCAAGTCCAGGTCCAGGTGCAGAGATCCTTGCAGGAAGCGGAGTCGCAAAGCTTCCCGCTCTACCACCCGCAGGTGGAGCAGGCCATTAGGAAGAAAGAGGAGCTCCACCGGGCCTTGCCCCAGAAGCGTGACTTGTCCCCAGAGGAGGTCTCGGCTCGCCAGGCAGTTGGTCACGGCGGTTTCGTGAGAAGTTGAGGGAGCAGTCCTTAGAGGGCACAAATGTGGAGGCTGGCCAGGCCCTGACGGGAGCGCTGGACACCATCCAGGAGGCGCAGGAACAAGCGCATGCAGGAGACCAACCAGGTCTGGATTTTCTTCGGGAGGATTTTCTTCGGTAGGGGACATTAAGGAGAAGTACATCCCCTTCATCCAACAGCTGCGGGAGTCGGGAACCCGTGGAAGGAGGAGGAGCTGCTGGCGGAGACGCCGGAGGTGGCGTCGGTGGACCCGCCCAAGGGTGCCCCCGGCCCCGGGGGGGGACCAGCCAACGCCACAGCTGGACCTGGACTCCAAGGAGGGCAAGCTGTCTCTTCTCCTCTGGGCTGTCGGGAAGTTCTTGGGTGTCCCCAGGTCAGAGGTGCACATCTTGGAGGCTCACATCCCCATGAAGATCCAATGCCGCCAGGAGGAGGTCTGGAATTCCCAACACCTCCGCAGAGGCAGAGCGGGCCTGGACACCTCGGCCCTCCGAAACTGGCTCTTGCGAAAGCCAGAGTACGAGTTGATGTGCGCCAAGTACATGGTGGGTTGGTTGAAACAGGCCAACAATTCCGGCAAGCGAATGTGTAGCAAGTGTATGGCGGGTTGGCCTCACCAGGCAGACAAGTGTTGGGGTTGCTCCAACATTACTTCCATTTTTTACCCCGGGTGAGTTGACCTGGCATTTCATCGTCGGCTCCAGCGGGCTTCAGTGGATCAGGTCGGGCAGTGAGGCGGCTTACGCAAGCTCCGCGGAAGGCCCCTCGGGTGTCGCGTTTCCGCGGGGGCCGGAAGGAAGTGGTAGATGCTACCAAGCTGGCCCAGCGACTTGCCTGCCTTGCCAAGGACTCGGAGTTTGGAAAACACGACATCCCTGCAAGCATCCTTGGCCCGAGGCAACCGCGCCACCTGCGTTTTGGTGTGGCCTGCTGACTGATTTGTGCGTTGTTGCGCCTCCGGCGCCTCGTTGTGATTTGTTGACAGGTGGGAGTGCAGCCGAGGGCTGCTTTAAGAGCACAACATCCCTGCAAGCCTCTTTTGTCCTGGACGACCACACCTCCCGCATTGTGAACACGACCTCCCTGCAAGCATCCCTTGTCCTGGGCAACCACACCACCAGCAGTTTGATGCGGCCTGTTGACGGATTTGAGTGCAGCCGAGCGCTGATTTGAGAACACAACATCCCTGCAAGCATCCTTGTGCTGGGCAACCGCACCACCTGCGCCTTGATGGGGCTTGCTGACAGATTTGAGCATTGTTGCGCCACCGGCGCCTCGTCGTAGCTTGTTAACAGGTTGGTGTGCAGCCGAGGGCTGCTCCAAGAGCATAACATCCCTGCAAGCATCTTTTGTCCTGGGCAACCACACCACCAGCAGTTTGAGGTGTCCTGTTGACAAATTCAAGTGCAGCCGAGGGCTGCTTTGAAAACACGACATCCCTGCAAGCATCCTTTGTCCTGGGCAACCACACCACCTGCAGTTTGATGTGGCATGTTGACTGATTCGAGTGCTGCCGAGGGTTGTTTTTGAGAACACGACATCCCTGCAAGCATCCTTTGTCCTGGGCAATCACACGGCCAGCAGGTTGATGATGTGGCCAGTTGACAGATTCGAGTGCTGCCGAGGGTTGTTTTGAGAACAGGACATCTTTGCAAGCCTCCTTTGCCTTGGGCAACCACACCACCTGCGCTTTGATGTGGCTGGTTGACAGAGTTGAGTGCCGCCGCGCCACCGGCACCTTTGTAGCTTCGCAAGATGCAAAGCTGCTGCTGCCGGGGGGCGTACCCCCCGGCAGGGGCGACGGGCGAGTCGAGGGCCTGCGGGCCATCCTCGACCGCGGTCGCCGAAAGGAAGAGTTGGAGATTGGGACCACGAGCTGCGAGTGGGAGGACCCCTCGTAGGCGCGACGGGCGAGTCGAGGGCCTGCGGGCCATCCTCGACCGCGGTCGTGGCGACCAGCATGGTTTGGGCAACCGCACCACCGGCATTTTGATGGGGTCTTATGGTTGATGGGCGCAGCCGAGGGCTGCCCGGAGAGCACACCATCCCTGCAAGCATCCTGTGTCCTGGGCAACCACGCCACCTGCAGTTTGATGTGGCCGGTTGACAGATTCGAGTGCAGCCGAGGGCTGATTCGAGAACACGACATCCCTGCAAGCATCCTCTGTCCTGGGCAACCACACCACCAGCGTTTTGATGTGGCTTGTTGACAGAGTTGAGTGCCGCCGCGCCGCCGGCGCCTTGTCGTGTTTGTTGACAGGTTGGAGTGCAGTTGAGGGCTGCTCTGAGAGCACAACATCCCTGCAAGCATCCTTTGCCCTGGGAAACCACACCACCAGCTTCTTGAAGTGGTTTGTTGTCGGCTTCGAGTGCAGCCGAGGGCTGCCTTGAGAACACGACATCCCTGCAAGCATCCCTTGTCCTGGGCAACCGCTCCACCAGCACTTTGATGTGGCTTGTTGACAGATTTGAGTGCAGCAGCGCCGCCTGCGCCTTGTCGCGCTGGGTTAACAGAAACTTGCGCAGAGCATCTGGGTGCCCCCGGCCCCGGTACTCAGGCGGTTCTGGGAAAGAGCAGGCACGAGCGGCTGGATTCCTTCATCCTGGGGTTCGCCAGGTTCCAGTGGGGTGCAGTGCCCGCTTCAACGACCTACAGCACGTCCACCCGAAGGTTCTGATCCACACGAGCAACACCGTGGAACTAAGGCCTGGCAGACCAAGTCGGTCTAAC